ATTTCCGCATTCGAGGCTCGTTTTTGGAAACACTATCAATAATCTAGACAAAGAAATGACTTCAAGGTTAACATTACTGTAGTAAAGACACTGAAAGGCAACAAAATAATCATTTGATGTCATAAACTTGTAAAAAATATGGAATACAATTAAGATAGGGCGCTATCGCAAGATAGGGGGCATTGTGGTGGCAGTATATTCAAAACCCCGTTGAACATCTTCTTTTTGCCAAAAACAGGACTAAGCCTTCGGCGGAAGGAGAGACTCCAAGTTGCGTGAGCAATTTCCATTTTCCCCGAAGTTCTTGCCCCCTCTTGGCTTGTCCTAGAAGATGCCCCCGTATCTTGCGATAGCGCCGGAATAAGTATATACAAGCATAAATATGGTGATGAAAGTATATAGAGATGGTAGCACCACACGTGAAACGAGACCCGCTATAGTAAAAGATTCAAAGCACAGCTCGTCAGCAGAATTCAAAGTGAAAGCTCAGAGGCCACAATAAATCCTCATAATAAAAACTCTGGAATACTAAAATTTGAAATTTTTCGGCGGTAATGGAGGAGGTTTGTCGGGTGGCTGTTGAGCGGTGCTTGGCGGTCTCGTAGGTACGAGTGGAGGTGCATCCAGAATCGACGACATTGTAGATGAGTCGAAGGCGTCAGCAAACTTCATTTCGAGCCACGGGTTGGAACCCCGCAAATGGCTCATAGGTCGAAATTCAGCTGGGAAATTATACTGTTGTGCTGAAACGATGGGGGTGGAAGCATCGGTGGACGTGGAGGAGGAGTTTCAGGCGGCGGATGACGTTTCTGCAACGTCGAGCAATCGCTTACAGAAGGAGGAGCTCTCGTCGAAATCGCCACGGATTCAGGTTCGTCGTCCAGTTTGCGGAGCCGATTGTACAGAAACCTTTAAATGAATGAGTTCTCAATAAATTTTCCAAATAAGGACTAAATATGTTACCTCGAACAAATAGCGACAACATCAAGGGAAGGAAGATGAGGCCATGAATTAATCCAATCGAGATCGCCAGAAATACCTGCAATAAATAAACAATAAATAAGTGACAGATTCGAAATGTCTAGGAAGGGGATAAGTCTGCTCCCGTTTGAATGCCGAAGATGCTATGGCTGCAAGTGGACCCCATACCTCGAACTTGGCCCATGACCCAAAATTACCAGTACTACGAGCTTGCGCCGCATGACGCAAATTACCAAACCCGGGAAGTCGTTGTCTTGGCACTCGGAATTCGTCCGCATTCTTTCATTTCATCAGGTTGCTCAACCGCTATTCATCCCAGACACGCCAGAAACGCAGATCGCCCATCTTCAGCTTTGCTTCGGTCTTTTATGCCTCTGCTGGCCGTATAACATCACAACGAGGCGTCAGCGCACAGGTGGAGGGGGGGGGGGCTCCACGCTCGCTTGTTTTCCCTTGGGTAATAGTCAGTCGACTTTGGCCGGGCCACTATGAGCATGGGAAAGATTTGTGCGGTAGGGGAAAGTACTGCGTTCCGGTGGAGTGGGCTGGGCCAGTGAACATTTTGCACAGGGGAAGCGAAAAAGGCGCAGAGGCACTTTTTCCTATGTCCTAAATCCTATGCAAATCTTTCGTTGCACAAGATGCTGCCGTGGATGGAAGTTTTACGGCAAAATATTTTTCCAAGATGTTCTCCATCCATAGGCAGAAGCAGTCCCCCTTTACTGCTCCCACCGCGTTCACAATACGACAACATCTGCCATCACCGTCGAACTCAGAGAAGCCTACCGCAGTTGCTCCAGTCTGAGGCTGTTACTGAAGCGGATTTCTTTATTTCGAGGTAACTGATGGGTAGCTTCCCAGAGATGATAACTCCGATTCAGAAAACCCTTCCGACGAGAGTTTGAGGGTTTTAGACTTGCTCGTAATTGCTCCAAATTCGCCGACGGCCTTGCCGGCTGGAAGCTACCATTACAAAAACTCAGGATTGTCACGTTGACAGAGGTTTAGGGGTAGTTTTACATCCGCATTACATCGGTGGAGAAGATACGAGAACTTCCGATAGACTGAAATGCGTTCTTCAATTTTCACTTGAGAGCATTCGTTTTAAATTTCTCCCCCCCCCCTTCCCCCTTTGTATACAATAGTTAAGTCGCATTCATCCGCTACTACGATTCCGGTAATTCTCACTGATTCACCATTTGAAAAACTTCCAAATCAAAAGTCAAAATGGACGAAACCGGTCTTGAAAAAGGTGACGATCATGTAAGCAGGCACATCAGCCAAAACCGCTACGGCCAGGATTGTCGAAGCAGCGCCTGTAGGTAGAGCTTTTTCAGTCAACAACGGCATTTCCACTGAATTCAGTTAATAATGGACAGACCTTGAACAACTGGCCACCCGAGGTCGCCGAGGGCATCACGACTCTGTCTCGTGGGTCAGGTTCCTTTGAGATCACATAGCCGTAGGTGATAAACACAAAAACATCAAACCAAACCAGAATGTGGGCGGAGTAGTCCACAGAGAATCCAACGGACATGATGATCGTTATCATCGAAATTGCATCCTAAAGCGATGGTGATTTAATCAGGTCTTGGTCATTGAGAATTGCAAATTAAGGATGAATTTAGAAAGAAAAACCATTATAAAGTAGTAAGAACTCCTGGATTTCTGGTCAAAATTAGACTCCGAGGAAAATGCAGTGGTTTAGAAGTGGGAGAGCAGTACACCACTTACGCGTTCAATTTTCTGAAGACCGAGGCGTAATGGTATAGACACATATACGCAGCATGACCCCCTACCCAACACCATTGGTGCCGCCCAATATTCACGCTACTTCGCTTCATCGCTCCTAAACAGGGACTTCTTTCTCCTTGTCGATCCCGGACTAGGCCATTAACTCTATGAAGCTAACTGAATTAGTGCAATCAGAGCTCGTAAACCAAGTATTTACTAGAGAGCCTTTATGTTCCAATTTGTGGAATGCTTACTCGAGTAGTAATTTATGACTCAAAGCTGTTAAGCCGTAAACCAAGCTATTACGTACCAGGTTCACACCCCAGAGTGTCATGTAGCCGAGGACGCCCAGATCGATGGATCCGATGGTGAAAGCTACCCAGAGGGCGCAAAATGGTTGCGGAATCAGAAGGAATGCTATGAATAGCATGCAAAGCACCGCAATCACGATGTCTTGGACCTGGAAATTGAGAAATTACGCTGTTTAAAAGATTACAATCAATATTTGGTGCCGTAAATTGGAAACTTCAAAGAGCGGCTTACCGTATTCGGTACCACCAAGTCGTACTGGTCAGTGAAAAGCCATAGTGGCATGAAAGTAGTCACGTTGTATTCAGGAAATATCGCTGCTACCTGAAGATATCTATTAAAATACTAAAAAAAATCAAAAAAAAAAATTAAAAAATCAAAACTTAATGTGAGACACTAATAGGAGGAAAAAGTCAAAATTTCCATTAAATGAATCGTTCACGGGGAAATAATCAATCTATCTCCCCGTGATTTAAATCCTTCATTCACGATGCGAAAAGAAGAAATTGCGTTTGTTTTGGTAAACAATTCGAAAAACCGGAAGACTGTTACGCGTTCAAATTCCCGCCGTACATCTGTCACAAATGTTGGCGATGGGAACGATTCCACTTGGTTCTCAGAGTGCCTTCACTGAGAATTCTTTTTGTTTTCCCACTTATTGCAATAACTTTTCCAACAGTTCTCTTCTCCACTGCATCCGATTACTTCGATCGTTGTCCCTATTCTCCAAATTCGGATTCTTAACGCGATTCCTTCAATTCGTTGCCTGATACATGGCTGCTCCAAAGCGCACTTCTTTCCATGCGTTCCCTTGTCTCCGCCCGACCTACCCTGACCGTCCCCAGAGTGTGGTTTTCGTAGGTTTGTTTCTCTTCGGAAACTGAATCTTCTTGCGTGAAACTTTGTACGTTGTCTCTAGTGATCACAACTGACATATTCATGTTGGGAAAGAATGCAAGAATTTCTGTGAACAACTTCTATAAATTTTAAAACATGCCAATTTGAGCGCCAACAAAGAGGATACTGTTAGGAGGAGGTATGTATGTTGTAAATTGGTGAGGTGAATCACTTGAAAGTCTAGTATATATCACTTCGATAGGTTTTTTTACGCCGAATTCAAGCAGTTGTTAACGCAGGCTGTCGAAATTCGGAACGCTGTTATGGCATGTTGCCAGAAGGACACTCACTGCATTTGCATTGCTTTTTGAGTTATTTCACAAAATGTTTCATTACAAGCGTAAAATGATAACATGCACGCCCACAAAGGCAAGCAAATTCTCGGGAGAGACCATCACTTTACTTTCATTTTATGTGAATGCGTACGAACCCCGTGAGACGGACTGCCTTTGAGATGTAATCTTCACTACAGCTCATTTTGAAGTTATGGCTTATCACCCCCCCCGCCCTCGTTCTCCCAGTGATTTCGTTCGAATGAGGATTTGATGCGGATTCAGCCGGCAGGACAACTCGCGATCCGGTTTAGG